TGCTGCATGTGAACTGGCCTTGTGGCCTTGATCTTGTGCTCGGAATTTGTGTGGTATCCTTGAGATCCACCCTGAGCTTGCTTTGCTTTGCTTTGCTTTGCTTGACTGGTCTTGTGACCCCTTGCTCTCCCCCACTTTGCCTATGGGGGTGTGTCAGATGATTATATTACTGATGCATATATTTAGGCTGTAGTGGGGTAGCCCATAGGGGGTACAACGCAATTAGGGTTGGTACTTGTACTTGTTTCATTTCATAGTGCACTCATTCCTCGCCTCTATCTCAACATACCCGCTCGTCTTCTGTTCTCAGCTCGAGCTGTGAGGCTGAGATCTACGGAAGGGCCATGGCTGCACAGGAGCTGGCTCACCTACCTGCTCCCTGACCTAGGAGAGCCGCCTCGTTCTCCTCCAGTTCTGTACGTAGACAACAAGGCCATGCTGGCCTTGTGTCGGGAGCACAGAACGAAGCACATTGCTCTCCGCTACTTCCTGGCTCGTGAGCTGCAGCAGTGTGGTCAGCTCCGCCTCACCTACGTGGCCTCTGAGGCCAACACTGCTGATATCTTCACCAAGGCCCTTCCGCCTTGTTTTCATCAGCGCTTCTGTACTATGCTAGGTCTTGTGCCTACTTGGCCTCACTTGCTCACTTCTTGACCTTGCTTGTACCGTGATCTTTCTATACCTGCACTTGCTTGTTTACCTTTATATATATGATCTTGCATGTGAACAGGCCTTGTGGCCTTGCTCTTGTGCTCGGACTGTGTGGTGACATAGCGATCCACCATGAGCTTGCTTTGTTTCGCTTGACTGGTCTTTTGACTCCTTCTTCTCCCCCAGTTTGCCTATGGGGGTGTGTCAGCATATATGCTATAGTCTGTGTAGACTGTAGTGGGGTAGACAATATGGGGTACAACACTTTAGGGTTTCCTACTTGTACTCTCCTCTCTGCTCAATGCATTCATTCTCATTTCTCGTCACATAGTGCTATCCGCTTCTCGCTGTTGTAGATGCACACCTTCCTCTTGACCCCATCGATCTCAGGGTTGAACTGCTTCAAGAAATCTCGCCCCAAGATGAAATGTGATCCCTTGATGTTCGTGATCGGCAACGTCGGCTTCCACTTCAGGGCCCCTATGTGCAGCTGCAGTGATGCTTCGCCGTGGATGGGAAGTCACGTACCATCCACCATCGTTGCCATGAACTTGGTCTCCTCTGAATTCTCCAATTTTGTCCAACGTCCCATGGTCGCACACTGAGTGAGACGCACCGCTGTCCACCAGTGCCTGGAGGTATCGCCCGTTGCAGATCACCTCGAGTAGTAGTGGTTGTTGCTGCTCCGGGTAACCGTAGATGGTCTCGCTTATAGAATCGTAAGGTATGTCGAATAGATCATCCCTCGGTTCTGCGCTCGAAGCTGCTGACTCCATATCAGTTCAACTGAGCTGGGTTAGAAGGATTTATCCGAGACCGATTCAGCTTCGTTTGGGCCTCGGGCCTTCCCCTAATCCTTTGCAGTTGTGTCGGCTTCACTAGTGGGCTATTGGGAGCCTTAACACTGAGCTGCGTGGAGAGAATATCAACTCCTTGGAACGCACGACCCTTTTCAACCCTCCGGAGTGGTTTGCCCAACCCCTTAGGTACCTGAATAATGTCTGAAGGCTTTTTCTTGGCCTTGAAATCTCCCCTGAATTTTTTAAAGGCTTGAAAACCTCGACAAGGAATATTCTTACTCTCGGGGGTGTTCGGCTGGAGTTTTCCTGTCAGTGCAGAGTCTTGTTTCGTGGAGCCTCCATTTGTCTCAGCAATTTTCTCTGTTGCCGGCCGGTCGTGGTGTTTTAAATTCGCGCCATGGTGTCCTCCTTTTTTCGCCATCGTGGATGTCGCACCGTTGTTGCCATGTAGCTTTGCTTGTGCCTTCTTCATTTTCCAACACGCCAAAAGTCGATGTCCTGCTGCGCCGCAAAATTCGCACTTCTCATATTTTGTCGGCCGCTGCTTCGCGTCGATCTTGTCGATATCCATCGGGTCGGCAGTCGTGGGTGGTGCCGATTGCTTCATGCCAAATGATCGGTTTGGCACGTGGCGTCGTATCTCAGGTTGACCTCGTGTCAGCGCATCGAATCTCTCTGCTGCACACACCATGTCGCGGTAGTAGTTGTAGTTCGTGGCAATCACCTGTCGGCGAACTTCCATTTTTAGCCCCTCAGTATACGCTTGGATTTTTTCCCCTTCGGTCAGGTCCGTTATTCAGTTGAAGAGGCTCTCCATCTACTGCGAGTACTATGTTACACTGCCAAACTGTTTATGCCGATGAATCTGCTGCCGCGCCATGTAGCTGGAGTTGATTGGTTCGAAACGTTGAATTAAAGCTTCCCAAAACTGCGTCCATGACCCCTCGCCTCAGACCTTGTTGTTATTGTAAGTCCACTCAAGCGCCGTGCCTCATAACGGTGTCGCTGCGAGCCGAATCCACATTGCATGATGTGTCGGGGTCGTACAGCCAATGGCCTCGAAGTAAATTTTGAGGGTCGCAATGAATCGACGGGCATCGGTGTCTCTAGCATTCGGATCGAACATCTCCGGTTCCCTTGGAAGTGCCGCCTTAAGATTCACCATAGCCACTACCGCTGTTGCTGGGTGAAGTGTCGGTGTCGCTGCTGCTGATGCTGCCGTCGCTGCTGCGTTTGCTGCTGCTATGGCGGCTGCCGACTGATTCGCGAGAAGCTCCTCTATTTGCTGGAGTGCCGCTCGTGTCTGGTCCAAGCCGGTGTGTAACTCCGTAATTTTTTCGTACAGAATTATCACCATTTTCCTCCATTTGGCGATTTATAGGAAGATGTGCGACGAAAATAATTGAATTCTAGGCGCTGGTCATGTTACTGTGAGTCGAATCAACTGTAGAAATAACGGGCGCTAATTCTGTAGGTTGCGTACTTCTCCCTTAGTTGAAATTTGCGTCCGATCTCAGCCGTTGAGAAGAAATTCAATCTGGCGCTCCAAATTCCAACTTTTTTGGGCGAAATTCTCAGGGCCGTTGAGATTCGAATCGATCTGACGGTCGAAATTCCAACTTTTTCGCCACTGGACCTGAGGAGTGATCGAAAACCGGTTCGAGAGGGATGTTAGAAAATAACGCGGAACTGGTTTACATACCCGAAATCGGCGCTTTCCGTCGTCGCCCCCACGGTTTTAAAAGCTAGGTTTAAGCGGTCGAAAAACTTCGCTTGCAAACAGGCTCTGATTACCAAGTGTGAGGATCTAGGATCGAGCTCAGAAAAGAGCGTTTGAATTGAATTGAATGATCACCTGGGTACAACATGAGGCTATATAGGCTCGACACAAGGACTCGTAACCAGGTGTTACGCGAAGGTTCCGAGGGTTGGGAAGCGTCCCGAACACATCCTTTCCGAATTCGGTAGAAGGCGATTTGGTGGCAACCGAAAAGCCCAGAAATCGGTGCACGCAACCTAGCTCGGTGCTATAACTATAATAAAATATAGGAAAGCACCTAGCCTAGGAAATCAAGAAATTCATGCATGCATATAATTATCCTATGCTAGAAATAGCATACTAAAGTTAAGGCAAGCAAGCATAGCTGGCATAAGCCGTTCTCGACAGCAGGGCGACGGGGCCGCGAGGTAAGGGCGGCGGGGCCGCGAGAGCAGGGGCGGCGGGGCCGTGATCAAAGGGCGGCGGGGCCGCGAGAGCAGGGGCGGCGGGGCCGCGATGTAAGGGCGGCGGGGCCGCGAGGTAAGGGCGACGGGGCCGCGATCAAGGGGCGGCGGGGCCGCGATCGTAGGGTCGGCCGCTAGGGCGGCTCGGTAAGAGAATGGCCCGAGGCGCGACTCGGGATGAGTGCGCTTCGGGCAAGAAAAAAAAATCGAGTGGTGGGCCCTAGGCGCAGTTCCCACAGGGGAACCTGCTCGATACCATGAGAAGAATAGAACAAGAATGAATGAACTATGAATGAAGTGAGTACATATAGGAAACCCTAATTGGGTTGTACCCCCTATGGGATACCCCACTATAGCCTACACAACAGCATAAGCTATATAACGTTCTGACAGCCGTCGTACCCTCACACGATACCTATCCCCAAAAACCATCACACTCATATGACCCACAAAACCCAAACCTTGACTGACATGGCCTGTTGAAGGCGGACAAGGAGAAAGTGGAGAAGATGCGCCTGTGAGATGAGCAGTGGGGGATGTTGAGGGAGCTGAAGAATTTTCTCAGCCCCTTCAACAAGGTCTCCAAGGGAGCCGAGGGGACGGCGTACCCGACACTGTTGATGGTGGTGCCGTACTACAACGGCCTCATCGACGCCATAGAGGCCAAACTGGCAAAGGGGCCCTCGGCGCTGCTGAAGCCTTTAGTCGAAAAGGTGCTGAAAATCCTGAAGAAGTACGCGTAGATCAGCAGCAACGAGGGCTGGATCGCCACCTTCCTGAATCCTTCCATGAAGGCGGCGTGGTTCGACGACCCCCGCTGGGAGACACAGCATTCAGAGACGGAGCATAGGGATAGGCCGCGCCCACCGTCAAGCGTGGTGATCGCGCTGGTACGAGATCGGGTGGCCGAGTACCAGGCAGCGGTGAGGTAGCTCGTTCCTAGGCCCACGGCACTTCCCACGGTTGTAGAGGAGGATGAGGGAGAGGTGGGGGGGGGAGGACGACGATGACCTTTACCTCCCTAGTCGCCAACGCCTTGCGGCGCGTCTGTCTGCGAGCCAAGCAGCGGGGGGGAAGTGGTCTTTTGCATGATGATGAGGTCAGCAGGTACTTGTCTGAGAGGGTGCGGTACGACGTGTCAGCGTTAGAGTACTGGCGCACCTCCACGAACATGGAGACGCTGAAGAGGATGGCAAGGGATCATCTCGCGATCCCGGCCACGTCTGCGGCAAGCGAGCGCGTGTTCTCCTTGGGCCCCAACCTCATTTCATGGAAGCGTCACCGGCTGAACTCCAAGAGGGCGCGATCCTGCATGATTCTGAGATAATGGTATGGATTGCACCCTGGCCAGAGAATCGGTGAGGGCCGCCGCACGAAAGGGGTCGCAACTCTGTAAATTGCTATTGAGGGCGGAGTTGCGGAGGAAGAGGAGGAGGAGGAGGATGAGGAGGAGGAGGAGGAGAAGGAGGAGGAGGAGGAGGAGGAGGAGGAGGAGGAGGAGGAGGAGGAGGAGGAGGCGGAGGAGGAGGTGGAGGGGGAGGCAGCGGAGCAGGTGTTTGAGGACGCGGCGGAGGGGAGAGGGGCGGATGCAGCAGCCGGAGGTAGCGAGGATGGTGGCGTTGGAGGCGGGGCTGGGACTGGGCTATACATTTTGTTAGGGGGGTATGGAGGGAACCCTTTGTGACCCTCCCATGTTCATTCCTTTGACTGTGAACATATTCTCTTGCACACTTTATTTATGCTCTTTTAAGTTGTTATAAACACGTCAAGGGTAAGTCAAATCAATACCAAAGCAGATACCCTTCTAGTTGGAACCCTTTACAGTGTTGTAGTTTATGTGTTTTATTTTGCAAAGCCCTCAAGGGCGAACTCGAACATGTGCATGTTCGCCTTAGTGTTCGAAATGTTCGCCTCTGAAGGCGAACTTCGAACACCCCTTCGGGCGAAGTTCGGTTCGCCGAACAACCTTGTTCGAGCCAAGGCGAACGCGGGCATGTTCGTATTCGCCTCGTGATCATCCCTAGTCACTCTGTCATATTATAATGCATGTCTAGTCTGTAGTGGGGTACTCAAAAGTGAGTATAACCCTTTTAGGGCTTACTACTTGCATCCCCCTCCTTTCTAGTTTCAAAATTCTCCTTCCACAATTCTCTCGACATTTCATTTACACCCTAAAACTCGAACTCACTCCTAAACTACTATTGCTCCTAAGCCAAACTCGTTCTATTATGCTCAACATGCTATCAGAGCTTAAAGCTCCTGGCCTGTGGGCCCACTTGCTTCCGCTGCCCTACTATGTGTCGCGCGCCCCGTGGCGCGCGACATCCTATTTTTCTTCCCGCCATGCGCTCGGAACGCGTGGCGGTTTTCTGCCCGCCGTGCGCCTCGAGGCGCGCGGCGGGTTCCTACCTCGTCGCGGCGTCCTGGGGGCCCGCGCACTGGCCTTGACCGTCGCCTCGTCGCGGCGTTCTGGGGGCCCTCACGCAGGCCCCTCCTGTTGCCTCGTCACGGCACTTTCGGGGCCTGCGAGCCGGCCCCTCCCATTGCCTCGTCGCGGCGTCTTAGGGGCCTGCACGCGGTCCCCTCCCATCGCCCGTCGAGGCACTTTCGGGGGCCTGCGCAGCTCCCTAGCACGTCGCTCGTCAGGGCACTCTGTGGGCCGCGCCCTTCCCCTCACCTCCCTCCTAATTTCCGCTGCAGCAGCAGCCTCTGGAGCAGCCGCCCCAGCAGCAGCAGCCCCTGGAGCAGCCGCCCTAGCAGCAGCAGCCCCTGGAGCAGCCGCCCCAGCGGCAGCAGCCCCTGGAGCAGCCGCCCCAGCAGCCGCAGCCCCTGGAGCAGCCGCCCCAGCAGTAGCAGCCCCTGGAGCAGCCGCCCCAGCAGCAGTAGCCCCTGGAGCAGCCGCCCCAGCAGCAGCAGCCCCTGGAGCAGCCGCCCCAGCAGCAGCAGCCGCCCCGGCAGCAGCCCCTAGAGCAGCCGCCCCAGCAGCAGCAGCCCCTGGAGCAGCCGCCCCAGCAACAGTAGCCCCTGGAGCAGCCGCCCCAGCAGGAACAGCCCCTGGAGCAGCCGCCCCAGTGGCAGCAGCCCCTGGAGCAGCCGCCCCAATAGCAGCAGCCCCTGGAGCAGCCGCCCCAGCAGCAGCAGCCCATGCAGCAGCCGCCCTTGGCCCCTGCAGCAGCCGCTCCTGGACCCGGTGCAGCCGTGGGAGGGTGGGTGTGAGGGTGATGGTTGTGGGGGTGTTGGTTGTGCGTGCCATCTCCTCCTCCTCCTCCTTCGTCTCCCACTGCTGCAGCTATCGCTGAGGGGGGTGGATGTGTGGGAGTTTGGGGTTTAGGGTTTAAGGGGGTGCTGAGGGTGTAGGGCTAGGGTTTGAGCAGGGGGTGTGTGAGAGGGGCGTTGGGCAGCTGGGGGAGGTTGAGTGGAGGCACCAGTCTTGTCGTCAGCAGCACCAGCAGTCCGGAGGCTACAATCTCCGGTAGTCGCCAGTCGCCTGTGGGTCAGTTGCTCGTCTACCGCTACTTTTAGCCGCGGAGCCAGTTACTCGTGTAGTCCGGGCCTTTGCTTCGGTAGCCACTGAGCCAGCAGCTCGTCTGTGTGTCTGCAGAGTCAGCAGTCGCCTCCCATCTTTCTCTCCCCCCACAGTCTCTCCTCCTCCTCACTTGCCCTTTGTGATTAGCTCTAGCCTTACTTAACTATTGTGAACTCTTGCTCTATGTCTGCATGCTGTACTGATTATACCCCACTTTGACTATGGGGGTGTGTTAGATTATAATGCATGTCTAGTCTGTAGTGGGGTACTCAAAAGTGAGTATAACCCTTTTAGGGCTTACTACTTGTATCCCCCTCCTTTCTAGTTTCAACATTCTCCTTCCACAATTCTCTCGACATTTCACTTACACCCTAAAACTCGAACTCACTCCTAAACAACTATGGCTCCTAAGCCAAACTCGTTCTAGTATGCTCAACACACTCGTGACAGCTGCAGGTGTTCCTGGTGGTGGTTGATGTTCATCTTGAGGAGCTCCCTCGTTCACAGCCGAGGGAGTTTCGTCAATGTAAGCTTCAGGCACGCGAAAAGGACCGCTTGCACTGACGGAGTTAGATGCGTTAGACGCTGTAGGTGTAGCGGGAGCATCTGGAGCGTCCGACAGTATGTCGTGGACGAATAGCAGAGTGTGTAGACCGGCAAACGGTGCAGATCGCGGAAAGCCTTTGACAAGGGGTCCGCGGTGACTTATGACCGCCATAAACTTGGGCGTTGGAGAGCCATCTATTGCAGATTTCGCAGCAAAGAGCCCATGTGTTATAGATCCATCTAAGAGTCGAGAATCGGCCTATGAAGCAACTAGCCTGTTTGAAGCTTGTGAGCGCATTAAGTATACCGTCAAAGAAGGCTGTGACTGCAAGACAGTCATCGCCAAAGCGCGAACGGTCCATGGCGGCTTGTATCACTGCACAACTGGCACTTGATCGTGGCGCTAAAGGTAGGGACTGGCTAACGATGGTCGAGCAACGCGCCAGTGACACGGCACGACACTAACCGCCCACAGCAAACCATCCTCCTTTACTATAAGGCGTGTCACCCCCGTTAAGAGCGACCACGTCGTGAGCAGAGGCATATGCAGTGGAGTGTCAAACTCATACGCTATAGTCTGTGTAGGCTGTAGTGGGGTAGACAATATGGGGTACAACACTTCTAGGTTTTCCTACTTGTACTCACCTGCTTGCTAGTTCATTCATTCCTCATTTCTTCACATGGTATACACCAGGTTCCCTAGTGGGAACGCTTCCTTGGGCCCACCACTGAAACTTTTTTTCTGACCGGAGCGACAGACGCTCCTGCCCGAGGCGCGCCTTGTGGGCTGCCCTTCTGTCGACCTCTCTTAGAGGCCCCTCTCACGGCCATTCGCGCCACCCTCAGCGGCCCCATCGCCGCCCCTAGCGGCCTCGTAGCCGCCCTTCCAGGCACCTCGCGGCCCCTAGCGGCCCCATTGCCGCCCCTACGCGGCCCCGTCGCCGCCCCTAGCGGCCCTGTCGCCGCCCCTAGCGGCCCCGTTGCCGCCTCCCTCCCTACGCGGCCCCGTTGCCGCCCCTACACGGCCCCGTCGCGGCCCCTAGCGGCCCCGTCGCCCCCCCTAGCAGCCCCGTAGCCGCTCCCCTCCCTACGCAGCCCCGTAGCCGCCCCTACGCGGCCCTGTCGCCGCCCCTAGCGGCTCCGTCGCCGCTGACCTCCCTACACGGCCCCGTTGCCGCCCCTACGCGGCCTCGTCGCCGCCCCTACGCGGATCCGTCGCCGCCCCTAGCGGCCCCGTAGCCACTCCCCTCCCTACGCGACCCCATCGCCGCCCCTACGCGGCCCCGTCCCCGCCCCTACGCGGCCCCGTTGCCGCCCCTAGCGGCCCCGTCGCCGCCCCTAGCGGCCCCGTCGCCGCTGACCTCCCTACGCGGCCTTGTTGCCGTCCCTACGCGGCCTCGTTGCCGCCCCTACGCGGCCTCGTCGCCACTCCCCTCCCTACACGGCCCCGTCGCCGCCCCTACGCGGCCTCGTAGCCGCCCCTATGCGGCCCCATCGCCGCCCCTACCGGCCCCGTCGCCGCTCCCCTCCCTACGCGGCCCCGTCACCGCCCCGAGCGGCCCCCTCACCGCCCCTACCCAGCCGCGTCGCTGCCCCTAGCGGGCAGCCGAGCCGCCGAGCCACCCAGCACCTGAGCCGCCGAGTCACCCAGCACCCGAGCCGCCCCTGGAGCACCCACCACTCCAGCAGCCGCCCCTGGAGCAACCACCACTGTAGCAGCCGCCCCTGGAGCAGCCGCCCCTGGAGCAGCCGCCATTGCAGCAGCCGCCCCTAGAGCAGCCGCTACTGCACCAGCCGCCCCTAAAGCAGCCGCCCTTGGAGCAGCCGCCACTGCAGCAGCTGCCCCTGGAGCAGCCGCCACTGCTGCAGCCGCCCTTGGAGCAACCGCCACTGCAGGAGCTGCCCCTCGAGCAGCCACCACTGCAGCAGCCGCCCCTAGAGCAGCCACCACTACAGCAGCCGCCCCTGGAGCAGCCGCAACTGCAGTAGCCGCCCCTGGAGCAGCCACCTCTGCAGCTGCCGTGGAGCTCTCGCTCTACAGTGGTAGCGGCTTATCTGTTGCCGCCGTCTTACGCCTGCCCTTCTCGCCACTGGTGAACACTGCCCTGCCCGTACTGCTGTTACTGCTGCTTTTACTACTGCTGCTCTTTCTACTGCTTTTGCTGCTTCTGGCGCGGCGAGATGCAGCTCCAGCGTCGCCCGCGTGAGTCCCTCACCCCCCAACAGCTTCGTGAGTGGTACGCTAGTTGGGGTTGTCGAGGTGGCTGTAGTGGGAGTCGTCCTAGAGTGAGTAGTTCCGCAGTTGCTTGTAGTGGCAGGATGCAGCTCCAGCGTCGCCCACGTGAGTCCCTCACCCCCCAACAGCTTCGTGAGTGGTACACCAGTTGGGGTTGTCGGGGTGGCAGTAGTGGGAGTCGTCCTGGAGTGGGTAGTTCGGGAGATTCTTCTAGTGGCCCGATGCAACAGCAACGTTGTCCGCGCGAGACTCCTTCACCCCACCAGCTTCGTGAGTGGTACGCTCAGAGTGGAGGGTCGCTGAGTACTGCTCGCTGCCCGTACGTTATTAGCACTAGTGTCCGGACTGGTCAAACTTGCGGGACGCGTGGTCACAC